AAAAATATGTTCCTTCCTTATGGAAAAGTGAACAAATAAAAGCGTAATCAAATCGCGTTGAATGATCGTATATAAAAAGGGCCAGAACGAAATACGTTCAAATAAATTCCTTTATTATCAAACATTCATTACAAATTGCGAGATACAAAATACTAAATGCTCTATAAGCTACAATTGAGAGCAAACTAATCTCTCGATCGATCGCCAAGTAAGAGGGTGAACTGGCCTTGATTACCATCCTAATCGCACTGCTGTAAAGGCAGGCAGAGAGGCCGAGAAGCCCTCTCAGCAAGCAAAAGGGAAGAAAAGTACCATCACATCGCCTGCCTAATTGCATTGCTGTAATAACGGGCAAGGAGACTGAGAAGCACTCTCAGCAAGCAAGGTGGCTTGACAGGTATCCTCAAAAATTGCCTACCATCATTGGAGACCTTTTAAAGAACATGGAGACGATGAGAAGAACTTCGCTAGCCAAAGAATATTTCCTATATCTCTCATATCAAAGGTGACATCAAAACAGATAGCAAAATGGGTGGATCAAATGATCCATTTCTATGGAAGACGAAAATTTTGGATAAATTGTTGAAATGCCAAATGATGGCAGCAAATTAGTTTTTGAAGAAAAGAATGAAAATGAAAATGAAAAGTGCGAAATATACGTTCATTTATAGGGGCGTGAAGGTGAAGAGACAGAATATGAACGGCCACATTCGTGCCTAGTAATTGGAGTCAAGTGGCCCAAAGCCTTGGGAAAAGAGATAGAAATACCAAGAGAGAATGTACATGAATCTTAGCATAAAGCAGTTAAATGCTTGAGGGTTGACGATTAAGGACAACGTCAATTAGCACGCAAGTAGACAAAATAGTCGTTCATTAATGACAATGGCTGCTGTTAAATTCAAATTTAGCAATGGCAGTTAGTACGAAGTTACAAAAGGAAAATTTAAGGCATTAGATGTGTTAATTACAATTCACCCTAGGCCGATCGAATTCTTTCCCTAAGTCTCCCCCAATCCTCGCTTTGCTGAGAAGAAGCGACATTTAATTCAACTACAAAATCGTCATCAACCTCCAGTTTTTTGTGCTTCTCGACCAAAGACTTGGTTCGCTCAATTCCTTGGGAAGCATTACGCTTTTTAGCAACTATTCTTGCCTTACAGTCGTCCATCCTTGCTTGAAGCTCCTTCATATCTGCAGCCAAACTGGTCATCAAGGAGTTTTCAACCATAACTTCGGAAGAGATTTCTTTCAATTCGTCCTTGGCTTTGTTAATCTCTAAAAGCAAAGACTCACTTTCAGATGCAACGCGAAGATATTGAGTACTCCTGACCTTCAGTTCAACATTTTTGGCCAGCAAGGAGAGCGCGTCATAGTGGATAACCTTCAACGTCGCTTTAAGATCAGTAGAAATATTGGGCGACGGAAGTGTCAGTGCTTGCGCCAACTTCGCACTCAATAGCTCAAACTTATCCTTATGTATAGAAACACTAGCCTGACCGATGTCCATGTCCATAAAAGACACATACTCAAATATCGACTGCTTGAGAAATTTCATATCTTCCTCTGAAGAAGTAGAAGGATGACCGGTTGCAGTAGGGTGAGACGTCTTGACTTGCCCCCAGGAAGTGAACAAATCTTGGATGGAACGCACAATGTCATCAGCACCCTGCAAAGAAAATGCCAACATTGAGGGCTTTCACTACAATAAATGAAGCGATAATGAAAGTGAAGCGAAATGTTACCTCATCAGCAATCTTGGGAAGTGGCATATCACCAGTTGGCTCCACCACCTGTGGAGACTTCCCCTTATCTGGGCGAGAAGACTCTGCCATAACGGGTAGACCCATGGGAGCCTCTGCAGAATTCAAGAAGTAACAAATCAGAAACCAATAGCACAAGCAAAGGTAAAACATCAAAAAATGTATTACCTTCTGGTTCAATGTTTGGAGGGTCGACGCCCTGGGAAGAAGGTGGCTCTTCTATTGGTTGTGATGAAGGTTCTGGGACTGAAGGTTTCTCTTTAAGCATAGTCCCTTCATCAGCTGATTTGGACGAAGCAGCTTCAGCAGAGGATGATGGAGCAGGAGCTGCCAACACCAAAGCCTTCAAAGGAGAGGCTGAACTTTTCTGAGAAATTCAAGTAAACCATTAGCACATAGAAAGGTTTCAAGTAAACCATTAGCACATAGAAATGTATGTTTGTGAATAAACAGAATTCAATTACCTTTCTCCTAACGATGAAGGGAGTGTCATCATCATCATCCTCCAAAATGGGAGATGTTGAAGTTGGCCGTTTGCGGTTTAAGGCACTCTTAGCTGCAGTAGCCTTGGCAAGTAGAGAAGTAGATGGACGAATAGATTGTTTAGCACGAGCAGGGGAGGAAGGATTCCTAATGGACACAGGGGTGACCAAAATAGGAGAAGTGGAAGAAGTGTTTGGCTGATCCAGTGAATGGAAAGCACGATTGGCATCAGTTGTAAACAATCTGCGCTTCACTGAAGGCCAGAGTTGTTCAAAAAGGGGATGGATGGCACGGTTAGAATTGAAGGGGGCTAATGAAAATTTACTCGTCAAAAAAATGTTGCGAGCATCTATAGCTTGTGCCTCTGCCTTATTAAGGGCATAAAAGCGGTCTGTCAAATTTTTTGAATAACAAGGAGGAACAGCTAAAACCAAGTCGGCGAGCAAAAAATTGGGGAGCATATATTTCAACCCCAGCTTTGGCATTGGTTCCAGTTAAAATATAATGGAATAACTCCCTCCCAGTCAAAAACTGAACCCAAACGAGCAAAGAGGCGCTCGCACTGTTCAGGGTGGATGGAGGTTGCACATAATCTGGAGTCAAATGAGTAGGAAAAGGAAAGAAGGAAGGAATTGAATTTAAGGTATAAAAGAATGAAAAAATGTCCCTACTGGACATATTTACATGGCTCAATGGGTCAATTGCTAGACCATAGCAGCTAGCAGAACGAAGAGAAATGGATGGAGCATCAAGTGATGAGAAATATGCTCTCACCCACAGTTGAGTGAACCAAAGAGGCCCACTGTCAGTGGGAGATGCACCATTCTTCAATTGAAATTGAAGAGAAGTCACGTCTCTATAAAGGGCAGCCAAAAAGAAGGAACATAAATTCAAAGGCTTACCACGCGCCAATTCATGTGCTATGGGTAAGTAACTCATGGAAGGCTTCATACTTGGCACGCAGAGAATATATTTACATAGCCAAATACATTTACATAACGCTCAGCATGGGAAGGTTCAGAGCTTGAGTGATTATAAAATCTTTGCAGGCTTGAGTAGGACTCAGTGAGTTTCTTGTCAAATTTCGGGGCGACACCGAAAATCAAAATACTAGGGAAAATTGTATCGCCCAAAGGTGGAAGATTTACTAGGGCCCCAACATCTCTTAAAGTAATAGACATGGGACCAAGAGGGAAAACAAAGGTATTATATTCAGAAGACCAAAAACTTAAAGCAATAGGAAAAAGCACTGGGTCAAAAATTGGGGGTTGAAGAGCGATTTCTAATAAATCAGAAATTCTAGCACGATCAAAAATTACCTTGGTAGGACCATGGCCCACAAGGCGAGCATGTCATCTACGAAAAATAACATCAGATTTAGGCCAAGTGCGAATACTTTTTTCGCGAATCAGCCTTAGCGGCAAAGAGTTCAGGAACAAAGGGCCTTGAGTGCAAGGGAACAGCTGGTCCACCGCCACTTGTTCAACGGCTTCGGCGTTATTGAATGATGGACCCAGATAGAACTCATTGAGTTCGGCATTGGCTGGTGTAAGGAAGTTCGGATTTACATATAGCCGAGTAAGGATTTTCTGGAAATCTTCAAAGCTAAAAGAGTCATCAGATTGGGTTTGTGGAGCCGCCATTGGGAACGAAATACAGTTTTGTTAAAGTTTGCTTGAGAAACGTAGCAGATAAGCAAGAAGATGAACAGTAATATTGCAAGAAAGAAGCGTGAAACAATGAGGCGTGATTTAGTGGTGAGATGAAATGGTGTGTCTTTGGGGTTTATAAGGGTTTGTAACGTCGCACATTTTCAGGCTATGGAAGGAAATAATGATTGAAATTCTTGGGAATTTCAAATGTTGCCGGAAAATACAAAATAAATATGGCAAAGATTAATAATTAGTATTAATTCTGCCTTATTGGGGGGTAATTGTTGACACACTAAAAGTGCAGCCCAAATCGAATAGCCCAAGGAATGAAACTCAATTGAGGAATTCCCAAATCAAACAGCTCAAAGAATGAAGTCAAATTGAGCAATTCAGGATAAAGGCCCAGACAGGATTATTAATGAATGCAGTGGAAGCCCATGAACACAGTAACATTATCGCCCAAGTTTGCAAAACGCCCAAGATCTGAGCGAATGGAGTGCCTTACAGTTGCCCAGAGCGATGACCCTGTTCTCGCCCATACCTTCGAATTGTCCAAGATCTTAGCAAACATAAAATGTTATGGTTATCCAGAAATGCAATTATTGAAGCAGTTATTGACTAACCTTATCACATTCCACGATTCAAGAAACCCAGTTGAAGGCGGTTGAACGACAAAGAGCAGTGACGGCAGTTAGAGACGGCAGTTCCACGACAAATTAGCCACCATAAAGAAAGTGGGTAGTTATAAAGCAATCAAGCAGTTTTCAAGCGGTTTGTCACGAAGAAATCATCAAGGGAATATAAAAGGAAGAGAAAACATAGAGAGAAAGGACCCCGAATCAAACACTCTCAAACAGAGAATATGTAATTTCATTTTTTTAGTTTAAACTTAAACATTTCTTTCAGTACTCGTGTATTTGCGCCCTTTGGAGTTATTTTGTTTAGTTCCAATTGTAAATCATCGCCAATAAAACACTCCTTTTTGGGATTTTGTCTCAAGAGGTTTGTTTCTTATACAATCGTCTGATCCCTTTTTAATTATTAGCGACTACCCGCGCGAAACAGAACCTCAACCCACGATTCATACATGGAAAAAGTATGCTTCCATAACAACTGATGCAGATTAAATCAACTGACGAGGAATAAAAAGCCCTTAAAATGATTACAAAAAGAAAATGCGTCCCATATCATCAGGGCCCTACAATTCCGTGTTTGAAGATGTGAACAATGATCTATAATGTTCTCTGCCAACTATTTCTTCATGTACTATCACATATAAAAACCCAGAACATATGAGGTCTTCTCTGACTTCGTTCATGAATTTCCAGCTTCCCCATTGATGTTACCACGGACAGCAGGAGAACAAATTGAGCGACTCAATTTAATTTCAGGCTCAAACTTCGCTGCGAATGCTAATGTTGACTGGACAGCCTTCTGTACAGAGCTAGGCTTGTTTAACAAAAGTGATGTCTTCGAAGAGCTTGATATACTTGTGCTACATCCAGCTGCTGACAGATCTATGGAAGGCATTTTAGTGGGGATTTGAAGTCTATCCGGGGTAACTTCTTTTGGTTGAACAAATGGTAACAAAATGTTACCATCACTAGGACGCAAACCAGCTTGATTCTTAACACTAGAATCATTTAATGGACCTTTGTCAAATGAAAGAAAGTTAGTGCCCCAAGGTGAAGCCACCGTAGAAGTTCTCTGTGCATTTTCCTTCATGTTCTGTACCAAATCCACAGTACTTTCTCTGGTTTGACTGTCAACTTTAACATTGTCACAGCTCTTCTGGGAATTGCAAGCTTGCTTTGCTTTAGCTGAGTCATCTAAAGATGACTTCTCAATTTCATTATTCTCGGTTGAAAACAAGCTTGAGATTTTTTTACCACTAGAATCATCTGTGAGGATTTTGCCAAAGGATAAAAAATTTATTCCCACTGGCTTCCTTGGAGGCACTGTCTTGGCTATTTCGTTCGGCTTCTGGACATTGCCCAACACTTTAAACCTTGTATCACAGACAACATTATTACCAACATCTGCTTTCAGAGACAAGCCAGCTTGTTTATGCTTACTGGAGTCACCTAGCAACGACTTCGCATGAAAAAGGAAATTAACTCCATTTGGTGCCTGTGCAGAAGCTCCTTGCGCAGGATGTGAAACATGCTGTTCCACACTCTTACCAGCGGAGTCCATGGCAGAGGAGAACTTAGCATCAGCATTTTGAGGAGAGGTGCCATGAATATTCAAATGCTTATTAGGTTTTGAATTAGTCAGAAAGGAAGGAGCCTTCACTTCAAGTTCGGTCAAATTGGATGTTGTAAAGGAACCTTTTGTAGCTGGCATCATCTGCTGTTGAGGCTTAAGTTCAGGCTTGGATACATTTGATGCTGGACAGGAACTTTCAGCTAGCAGCTGAGGTATTTAAGTGCGACCGAAAAAATAAAAAATAAAAAATAAAAAGGGAAAAATCAAATACCAAACTGAAGTCCTGCCAGAGAGTACAGAACGGAAAAAACATAGCCAGCCAGTTGAAGAAATTTTGACAGCAAAAACAAAAGATTATTATTACCTTGTGTGAAAACAAACAGTCAGAACCCCTACTGCAAAAGCCTTGTGATGTATAATTGTTGCACGGGTACTTGGAGAGTTGATGATCAAATGGGCAGTCATCTCCTTTCATGCAAGAATGACGCGCAAAATGACAGCATGGCTGTGAAATAAAAAAAAAGGGTGAGATGTACTTATATTTAAATTTTAATTGCTCATAACATAATTAACATGATATATGACGATACTACCTCCATGTAAAAGATTCTACAATTACTTTGATTCTCAAAAAACTGATGATTGTTGAGGTGTGAACGTGACAAAGCGTGATACAAGATTTAAGAGTTTCTGGTGAGATACAACACATAAGACTGGCAACACAAACCAGCGCTAACATTGTAACATGAGAACATCCCAGACCTTTTTCTTCTCCAACAGCCACACACTTCCCTCGGGTGCACTGAAAACATAGTGCACTTCTTCCAGGGGAATTGAGGGTTTGACAGGGATGACATATTATCGAATAAATGCAATTTCTAATATCTATGGAGGTACCATACTTTTTTAAAACTATAAAAAATACTTGGCAAAGTCTCTACTTTTATAACAACATGAAGGCTTTACCTGTGAATCGCTGTCATGCAACATTAAGAAGTTAACAAGTTTGTCATATGTAACTAAATTCATGTACAAAACACAAAAGATTCAAAAAAAACATAGGAATAGGTCCTATTCACCTATCCAAAACAATCGACCCTTTTATTGCCAATCCCTATCCCCTCGAAGACAGGGCAAGTTTCCCAAATATTCAAAATGTGGATTTATTCAATCAGAGAGAATATTGTGAGGCATTAACAATTAATACGCTAAAAGAAGATAAAAAGGAATCTTAACCAAAATAACAAGGAAAAGAAAAACAAGAGGTTTATAATTCTATATGGAATAGTGCCCGTGGATTACACTAAAACCTGAAACTGAGTACAGCACAAGCATACCTTCGATTTTGTCGAGGGTATTGTATCGTGCGAAAATTTGCATTTCTCACCCTGTAAGAACATAAAAGTGGATCAAGTTTCCAGGTAATGTTGTATTTTAGATAAGTGAGGCAAAACAAGTATTTAAATGTCTAAATAAAAATGATAACAGAGTGTTGAGCTTTACAACCTCCAGGCATCTCCCCTTTAGATAGTGGCGGCAATAAGTTATTGTTTTGGGTTTCAGAACTGGTTGCAGCTTTAATCTTTTAACTCCAAGCTTTTTATTCTTTTCTGCTCGCTTGATCCTATCCTTTTTCTGCAAAATAAAATTTCACTAATCAATTGAACTGTGGATAGCAACTATCAGATATGCATTCTGCAATAGAAAAACCTCCAGGAAGAAATTCCCAAGTTTATGAGTTGATGTTCTGCTTCAGAGAAAATTAAATAGATAAGTAAATTCAATTTGGAAAATAGACCTTTTTCTTTGCTCTTCTTTCCTTGGTCAAAGGACCATTCTTCTTTTTCTTTTTGTCACCATTGGCAGCCTGTACAAGAATTAACATCAAGTTGAGCCAGCTATGCAGTTGAATTAAACAGTGAAAGCTTGATGGAAAAATAACAGTTGGGGAAACCCCAACATTTCTACCAGCTAAAAGTGACTAAATAGACAGATGCATATATATATAGATGGAATATGATTCACAAAGTGGAAGAAAAAGACTTGAAAACCAATATGAAAATAATCAGCCACACATACATAATCGACTGGTTCCAAATATATATATTACAAAAGTTTTTCTACCATGTTTCTAGCCAACAACTTCCACCTAACATCACCTTACTTGTTGACTGAATATACCATACTCTGATGGACATTGTAATACACAAAAATAACCATCACAAGTACTGATTTAATACATATAATTAATACAAAATATAACAACAAAAGTGGCACACAATCATCAACATATATTGACTAACTATACTTCAAAAGCTAATTAGATGGAAAGACTCGACAAAATCCAGAATCTGTCGTTTCTACAAATTCTTTTAACCTTACACCTAATATGAACATGCAAACAAGGGAAGATAGGTGGGACCTTGAGTCAAGTAAATACAAAAACTTCGTAAATGATACTGAAAATTTTGTCGAGTTTATTACCTATTATTTCATCAGTTCGTTAATCTTCTTGAAGTTCCTCTTCTTTATTCTCTCCATATGACTTTTTAGAAGGGGTCGTGAAGGTGGATGTTACTTCTAGGGCAGAGGGGGAGTGACTGATTCTGGTATATAGGAAAATAAAGCTCATGGATGTATATGCTTATATATACAGGTATACCCAGACTTCAGCATATTAAGATTTCCTTAAAATTGCCACGAAAGATGAATACTCACCAGTTTTAATTTATGTCAGACCTTGCAGAGAAGTAGAAAACAGCTTACATTAGTATATAATAACAAAACCTAAATGCTCCCGTACTTCCAAAAGTCACAAGATCCAAGATCCACTTAATCTTTGAAACGATGCCTTAATATTCCACGTTTGAAAAGAATTTTATTCCAGAAGAAAATAGTATATTTTGAATAACTGGAATGGTAGATCACGTAACCACAACCTCTGATGTAATAATTAATGTTTGAGGATGTAAAGCATGGAAAACACAAAACGAATGCAGAAATTAATAAGAGCTCCATATATATAGTATCTGTTCTCCAGGGACAGAAACTTGTTTTTCAACGTTATTTTCCTGAAGGATTTCACCATGTGCAGATGGGTTTTCTAAAGAGGCTCCTGTAGGATCAATGCTTTGAGTGTCCATAGCACTATAGTGAACAACAGTTTGATATAGACTATCCCGCTTTTTTCTGACAATATCTACCTCCATAGGATCATTATCATCATCCATTCTGTTAAAAGCACCACTTATAAAACCTCTATCTTCATCATCCCAAGTGAACAGTTCTTTATCAACACCAGAAATCAGACCCTCTTCCGTTGTCCTCTCTTCCAACAGCATTGAATCTACAAATAATTCATCCATTAAATCATTGTATACCCCAGCTTCTCCTGATATCTTCCCTTCTTCAATCTCTAGAAAATTCTATTGAACCTGAATTAAATATAAGTTCCTCAAATTCGATCTCTTTCAGTTGCAACTGAACCTCGACTTCTTTTAACATAGTCCTATCTAAACTAGAGTCCTTTTCTTCAAAGTTCTCACCATGTTTTGATGATTTAGAAGCCGTATCTATGCCAAAACAAGAGTTTATAGCTTCAAATTGTTGGGTTGTGTTCCCATATAATATATTTTGCTATGATAAAATGATCATTTATTATAAATAAATTGTGGTTTTATTTATTTATTTATTGTATTATTTAGTATTGAGCATGCAAATTAAAGTGCCTCAGATCACTTAAGAAAATATAAGTGGGGTACTTGCGTTGAGAAGTACAGTGTGACACAACTTATATTTTGGTCATAAATAATTTGTTTACAATCAATGTGTAAGGGTTGGCACCTTGTATTGAAAGGTTGTAGTGTTAACCGATTTACTATTCTGGTTTATGATTTGTCAATATCACAGAAATAGTTAAAGGTGACACTAGTACACTTGGAGTGTATTGAACGGACTGCACGTTGAATTTAATTCTATAGCATGACCGTGCGGAGAATTAAATTCCACTTGACGGCTGTGTATTTCATCTAAATCCCTTGACAGGATTATGTGTAATTTTTTCGTGATTTTAATGGTTCTTTGATTCATCAATGGGTGAGATAAATTTGATTGGTCAAATATTTCGATGAGTTGGGAATTTGAGAATAAGCGAAGTAGATAATATAAATTCGTGTTGGGAACCGTCACCCTAAAATATGGGCAGAGTGACTATTTAAGTACTTTCTCTTGAACGGTTAAAATCTGAGCTCAGTATTTAGCAACGGCTAAATTTCGACATCTGTGATTTGTTCACAGGACCGTTGAAGAAAATAAAACTTAAGTTAATGAGAAAAATTAGGGGGCAAAACAGTCATTCATGCTCGTACCTAATTATCGGATCTCGAACGGGGATAAAATACATATACGACAGATTAGAGGAAAACATTTATTTGCTTCTGTGATCTTATATATTACAAGAGTTCAGTCTTTTACCTTTAGTAGAAAAAGCAAAGACTAATAATTAAATTGGGTGGTCTAAGGTCGACTAGACATGATCTTATTATTGGAGCTTGGATAATATATGTCCGATCAGGTCTCGTGGTAGCTCCACAAAGTATTGGAACTTAATTACAGTAATTGTAATAGTTTTGGGCTTAATTGTAATTACAATAAAGTTTTGTACTTGATTATAACTACTACAAAAGTTATAAACTTAATTATAATTGAAATTGAAATTCTAGGACTACACATGTAATTAAATGTAAACTAATTGGAATTGGATTCAATTAGAACTCCTATTTGAATGTGGAATTATAATTGTATAAAAATTGAAACTCTTCTATCTCTACAAATAGAGATTAGATGGATCCTAGATATCCTATGGAATGGAGTTATACAACATTCATAATTCCATGGAATTCAAATTTTGGAGAGAGAAATAGAGAGAAAAATTTACTTTTCTTGATTTTTCGATTATCCAGTTCAAGAATTGGTTTCTTGATTTAATTAAAAGAATGTGCCCACCCACCGATGTAGTTTTGACTCTAGAGAATGCCATAAAAGACTTGTGGAGGTTTGAAGCATCAAGTTCTTGGAATCCAAAAAGCTGGAAGTTCGTGATTCAGAATTTATTCAAGAATTGATCATCGAATTTAGGTAAAAATTCAAATACTTTATTTTTGATATAACATACACGTGAATATCTAGGGGTGGCAGTGGGTCGAGCCGAGCCGGCTCGGCTCGTTAACCCACGAGCTCGACTCGTCACGAGCCGAGCTCGGGCTCGGCTCGTTGCTTGTGGGCAAGCTTGGCTCTGCCCACGAGCTCGTGTACTCACGAGCCACGAGCTCGTGGGTCGGGCCGAGCCCACGAGCGGCTCGCGAGCTCGTGAATTTTTTTTTATTTTTCAAAATTTTCAAATTTTATTGATAAAATTTTAATTTTTTCCACTTTTTTGGACGAGCCGGCTCGTGAGCTCGGCCCACGAGCCGTTCGTCGAGCTCGTCGAGCCGAGCGGGCTCGGCACATTGGAAACGACCCCCCGCTCGGCAATGACGAGCCCGAGCAGCCCAAGAGCCGAGCTTTGACGAGCCGAGCCGGCTCGGCCCAATTGACATCCCTATGAATATCTAGACGATCTTGCTTATTGAATTAAAGAATATTTTAATTTCTGGATAATTTCGCTTCCGCATTCCAACACAAATACCTCCATATTGCAGACTCCCTTATTCGATTCTGGTTCACTAAAAGGACCAATATTTCCATGTGAAATTCGGGAACACAATTAACATTCTCTGGTTCATCCACAGTCTTGACGGTGCAATCACTAGTCTGTGTTTTGTCTATGACAGAATCTCTATGGATAGTATTTGTTACGCCCCTATCTGAACTACTTCAAAAAGTCTACCATTGCATCATACGAGGTGTCCACCACCAATCCGAAGTAGTTCCAAAGTGACTCCACCACCAATGTCCGCGCCCTGCTAACGCGCTACGAGGCACAAAACAATTCTATTGAACCGATCGAAGTGTCCTTGACGTCGAAGCGCAATACACTCCGAGGTTCTCCTTCAGCGGATCCGCTGCCACTTTCAGAAAGATTTCTGCGTCAAGATCCTCTCTATCCCTAAGGCTTAATTGATTTGACGTCTCCAATGGTCTAGTTGATGTGACGTATCAACTTTATGTCAACTCAACTCAGGAGAAGTTATTACCCGCCCACTCTATAGACGTAGCTGATTGACGTCTATGAGCAGACGCCTCACATCGTCAGATGCATACATGTGTTTCACATCCAACGGTTCTCCTCACCTATAAATACCCAAGGTTTGATAAGAGGCAAAGGTAATGAAACTCTTACAACTTAGTTCTCCATAACAAGAAAATATATATTCTCCTCCCCGCTCTCTTGCACAACCCGGGCACTGTTCTGATCACTGAATACTAACTTGACCTTCGGAGTGTATGCGGTCGCCACCACCTCCGCTGGTTCCGACCGTGTGCGTCTAACCGTGCGTTGATTGTACGTAGGGATGATCACGTGGAGTAGCTATCGGTTTACCACGTGGGAGGTCCAATTCGCGAGATCAACAGATTGGCACCGTCTGTGGGAAACTTCCCGTCCAAAGTTCTACATTCTCTACTGGCAAAGCCACCGAAAAACCATTGACTTACCCTGAAAAGGGCACGATCTTGAAAAAGAGCAAAGTCAAATTACAATCCAAATTCTTATCACCCTTGAAAAAGGAGTAGATAAGATGAGTTCCAGTAATGAGGACGCAAACCCTAGGATGGATGCCTCTGAAGAAGAGGTGCTCCAAAACAATGTCACTCACCAAAGACCCCATCACCGGCGTCGTCAAGGTGAAAGAACGGCCATGCTCATTGAAGGAATGACTTAAATAGTTGGGGGCATGAGAGATATCGCAGCTCAAAATATGGCGATGCATGAATTTTTCATGCAAGCCCGAGGTCATCAGGGCTCCCAAATGCCCCAATGATCTTACGCAGCTAATGAAGTCCCTGCGTCTCATTCTCGAGGCCATATGAGCCAGCACGAAGAACGCTCCCTCAAAAGAGAAGTGGGTACAGAAGTCACATTCTATGTGCAAGGGAGCTAACCAGCAGAACCACAATTGGGGGATAATTTTCCACCACAATATAAAGCACAAAGGTCAGTCAGTGTTTTTGACCGAATAGGGTAGGACCCTAGTAATAG